ACTCTCTCTAAAAAATCAATGGGAAAAAATATCCTTGGGTGAGGATTAACCCCCCCAAAAAAAGGAGAGTGGGAGGGAAATGAACTCTTACAGGGTATCTGCTGTGGGCCAGGCATCATGTTAAACATCATGTGTGTACTTCAATTCTCATAATTCTCATGAGAATTTACCGTCCCCGGCGTACAGAGGAGGAAACTGAGGCTCAGTCATGAAGTAACCGGCTTTAGGTGACACCTCGTAAGTGGCAAAGAGGGAACATGGACCCGCGGAACTTAAGAGCTATCTGTGAGAACCTGAACTGGTTATCTTTTTTTGAAATCTGTGAGGTTTGCATCAGTTCCCGCTGATGCAAAATACCTCGGTTTGGATCTGAGCTGCCCACCGAGCTGGCTGCCAGGTCTGGTTCGCTGGGTGGCCGCCCAGGCCTCTGTGGTGCTTCGGAAGAGGCACCCGGGGGTCGTCCTCTGTGCGTGGGGGCCTCTCGGTGCCCTCCCCGGCCGGCGGGCTTCCGCCCTTTCACTCTGGCTGCTCAGAAGCGTGCGGTGACCGAGGCTTGGCCCAGGCTGCGGGTACCCTCCCCCCTCCAAGCTGGATGCCCTGGGGCCTGCAGCGAGGGCAGATTTTAACTTTCTCTTGAAACTTTCAAAAAATTGAAAGCTGGGAGAAAACACACACACACACACACACCTTGGCTTTGGGAAGAGCACATTGTGGCCACGGGTTGTGAGAATCTGAGGTGGGATTTTTTTTTCCTTCGAGGAGCACCTTACATTTCCAGAGTGTGTTTTGGGTTCTTTTCTTAAAGGGGCAGAGCCTGCTGGAGAGCATAATGCTGCAGACTGAGGGAAGGAGTGTTGTGCCATATGAGCACTTGGGCTCCAGGAAGTGTGAACACCGGAGGGACTTGAGCTCTCAGGGCTGCGGCCTCTTACTTGCACGGGCACCAAGCCGGGGGCCCTGCCCGGTAGCCACGCAGCCTCAGGGGGTGACGCAGTCCCGTGGACACGGCCTCGTAGCCAGCACAGAGGTTCAGACTCCAGCTTCATCAAGTATCAGGGGGCCTGCAGAAGTGACCTAGTTGTTTTCCAGTCTTCCCGTCTGAGACACAGGGATAATCCTCTCTCCTCGCAGGGTGCGGTCAGGATTAGAGATCATCTGAGTACATGGGTAAGGCGCCTCCTAGAGGGCCTGAAAGATGCCTGGCACTCTCAGGTAGCAGGAGCCGTTGTGAATCATCTCAGCTAGGACTGCCAGGCTACGATGGCAGCTCCGCCAGGGGCCAAGGAGCCATTGTGTTCAGCAGCGAAACAGCCCGGGGACCCACAGCCCCCCTGCCAGCCGGTCACCTCCCTGCTCTCCAGAGACACCTGTGGCACCCACGTCGGCCACGCCGCTGGCGGCGCCTCCCAGAGGCATTCCTTGCCCCAGATGTGTGCCTCGGTGGTGTCGCTCTCCCACCAGGTGTTCCTCCCCTGCAGGCTGGCATGTCTCTCCCCGGCGTGCCCGCACTCGCTCCTCTCGCTGCTCCCTCTCCTGGGCCTGGCCCGGGCACTCGCAGCAAACAAAAGCAGGATATTGGCAGTGGCAAGGAGGACGTGTTCTGGTGCTCCCGTGCCCTGCAGCGCACATGCCATTACAGGGACGTCACAGGGCCTGGGCGTGCAGTTGGGTGCAAATACGTCTGCGCTGGCTTTTCTCCGAGGAAGCCAAGAGATGGGCAGGACCTGGGGACCAGGAGCCACAGAGCCGTTGTGCCCCCACCTGGACCGATGATGGGTCTCGCCACTCCCACCGTTTCCAGCATAAACACATCTGCTAAGGGCTTCCTGACTGTCTCAAGCCCTTTGCTGGGTGCTGAGTTGACAACATAAAATGGGACACTGCTCCCCTCTTCAGGGAGCTCACCATCTAGTAAAGAAAGAGGGTACCCAGAAGGTGGGGGGCAAGAAGGAAGCCCCCCTTCTAATGCAGGCCCTCTGCTGGGCACCTCATGGTCATTCAGAACCTTACTTAATGCTTCCCTGAGAGCAGGTGGTGATGTTACCATGTCACAAACAAGTAAGTAAGGCCGTTGGCCCAAGGTCAGTTAGGTGGTGAGCGGCGGTATTGAGATTTACAGCTTGGGTCATCCAGGGAAAACATACATGCACAGAATCGAGGGGATCTGTGGTATAGTCTGCATTTTACAGGTGGGGAACTTAACCTAGAGAGGGAAAGGGGCTTGTCCAAGAGCATGTAGCCCCGAAGAACTTGAACCCCGGTCTCCCAATCAGAGCTCATCCAGAGTGCCTTCTATGGAGAGGAGTTGGAGCCGCATGCCCAGAGAAGGGTCTTCCCCTCGTCCTCTAAGGTCTGGTTTACAGTGCGCCGTTCTAGGCACTTCATACCCGCACTCTTGGTGCCATACTAAGCTCCCAACACCCTGAAACTCAGCATGCTAGGACGAGCAGGAAATGCTACAGCATGGGGGTAGCTGATGGCAGAAGCCACCAGTGTTGGCTGAGTACCTAGGGCAGTGGTCAGCAAAGTTATTAGTCCACAGAGCCAAATATCAACAGTACAACGACTGAAATTTCTTTGGAGAGCCACATTTTTTTAAACTTAAACTTCTTCTAACGCCACTTCAAAATAGACTCACCCAGGCCGTGGTATTTTGTGGAAGAGCCACACTCCAGGGGCCAAAGAGCCACATGTGGCTCTCGAGCCACAGTTTACCGACCACAGACCTAGGGGACCTGGATCCTCCACAAGGAGGGATTCTCAGGATCCTGCTTCTCTAAGCCTCCCTAGCTCCGAAGACATCTCCCCTTCCTTCCTTTCTACCTGTCCCCCTCCTCGACCTCCCGCAGTGCTTAAAAGTGGTAGCCCTCTTTGTGGACTCTCACCTGGCATTGTTAAAACTGAGTTTTGTTTAGACATTCATTCTCTTTTCCCAGCTCATTATGCGTCCTTGGAAGGTGGCATGGGATCTGGTCTCTGTATCTTCTAGACCTGCGGTGCCTAGCAAATTGCTCTAGTAATACACCTGTCTTGCCCTTCACAGTTCGCAAAAGGCTTTCCTCGACATTAACCGTAGTTTTCACAGTGGTTCTTTGTCGTTGGATGCTGCTGGCCCATGTCATCAATAAGGAAAAATTACCGAGTGTTGTCCGAAACTATCCAGCCAGTGGCCAGTACTGGGAGCCACCATTCTCGTCCTTTTTCACAGCTAACCCTCCCTGAGGCCCTGCTGTGCTGGGTCTTTTATACGAACCACAGGAGGGCTGTGGGTCCCCAGGCTGTTTCGCTGCAGAACACAACAGGCACTTGAATACATAGGATTTCACTTTCACAGCAACTCGTTTTACGGATGAAGAAACCGGGTCAGAGAAGTGAAATAACCTGCCCAGGATGACATAACTAAAACTAATCCCGGGTCAGGATTCAAACCGAGCGGCAGCGCCTCTGGGAAGCAAGGGTGTGGTCCGTGTGGGTGGTGTGAGGCCTTCACAGGAATAGAGTGAGTGTCTGTTCACTGGAGAGAAAGAGCTGGTCTCAGAGGCCAGGGAGCTCTGAGCTGGGAGGCGCAGACATGAGGAGGACCTGGTCTGTGCAGATGTGGCCTGAGAGCACATACCTGACCTGACTGAGGGGAGCTTCAGGGACTGGAGGAGAAAGGAGCTAATACAGGTCTAATGCAACGTGCACAGTCCTAATGGGGTTCTGTTGCCCCCCCCCCCAAAATATGTTATTTTGAAAATTTTCAAATGTATAGAAAGGTTGAAAGAGCCCTCGCCGGTTTAACTCAGCGGATAGAGTGTCAGCCTGCAGGCCAAAGGGTCCCAGCTTCGATTCCGGTCAAGGGCACGTAACTTAGTTGTAGGTTCCTCCCCGGCCCCCGCCGCAGTTGGGGCACATGCAGGAGGCAGCCGATTGGTGTGCTTCTCTCACATCGCTATTTCTCTCCAACTTTTCCCCTCTCTCCCACTCTTTCTTAAAAGAAAAGAAAGTCAATGGGAAAATATCCTTGGATGAGGATTAAAAAAAAAAAAAAGAAGAAGAAAAAATGAAAGAGTAGTTCAAGGATACCCAAGTACCCTTCACCTAGATTCATCATTTGTTAACTTGAAGCCACTTTATCTGTCCATACACACCCTAGTTATTTATTTGTTTTTGCTGAACTGTGTAAAAGTAAGTTGTAGTTATCTTGACTTTCACCGTTAGTTAATTCAATGTGCTTTTCTAAGAATTCTTCTGTGTAACCAAAATATTGTTTACATCTAAGAAAACCGACAGTAAGTTCACAATAGAATCTAATGTATAGCCCAAATTCAAATCTCCTCAGTTGTTCCAAAAATGTCACTCAAAGCTATGTTGTTTTATTTTTTTTTTTTAATCCAAGCTTTATTTAGGCATTGCGGTTAGTTGCTATGTGTCTGTGCATTGTTATCTCTGTGGCCCCTACCCCCCCGACGGCATTAACTTTTTGAAAGAGTCAAGCTCAGTTGAGTTATCAAATGATTCACATTTTGGGTTTGTCTGATTATTTCTATTTTTAAAGAAATATATATGGCTTTTAAATTTTATTTTCATTTAGAGAGAGAGAGAAAGCGAGAGGGAAAGAGAGAGAAACACCAACTGAGCCACACTGGGTGGGCTATTTGTTTCTTTATGTTTAATATTTGGGGGGAAAGAATATCATATTAGTAATGCTGTTAGTGATGGGCATGTTTTGAGAAGTGGAGGTGACTGAACTTCTGTGGTTACTCCAGATACCTGTCTAGCCCAGAGGCTCTCAACCGGGGCCATGATTAGGCGTCAGTCCTTGGTACACCCGCACGCCACACATACATTAAATGCACGTTTTCCTTGGGTGTGCATTTTTTTCTGGGAGAGGCTTCTTGGCTCCCAGTCAGGTTCTCAAAGCGTCTCAAGACCCAGACAGGTTGAGAAACATGGGGTCCAAGAAACATCTGGATTCGAGCATCCAGGAGCGTCTCTCTCCTCATCTTCCCTCCCAGGTGTTCGGAATGCCAGGAGTCCCTCACCAACTGGTACTACGAGAAGGACGGGAAGCTCTACTGCCACAAGGACTACTGGAGGAAATTCGGGGAGTTCTGCCATGGGTGCTCCCTGCTGATGACAGGGCCTGCCATGGTGAGTGAGTCCCTCGGTGCCCGCTCCTCGTGGCCATCAGAGTCCGTTGACTGTGCCTGCCGTTCCCGGTGGCCATTCGCCTTCTGGTCTTCCCGTCGGTCGAGGCCTCTCTCTCCATTTAATCCTTTAACAGATGTTTGTGGAGCAGCTACTAAGTAGCCAGGTGGGATCCTATCCTCAGAGATTCCACCAGCTGGTGTTAGGTGAGGGTGGAGAGGCAAGCGGGGAGGAGACACAACACAGCGGGGTGAGAGCCTTAAAGGAGAGTGTTACGGGCTGAGAGGAGGCCAGGAGATCAGGAAGGGAGACTCTGGCAGGAGCCAACAGAGAGAGTTCACCTCCCCTACCTGCTCTGAGACAGAGGCTGTGAGCCTCGTCACCATTTGCCAGCGCTGTGTTGGGGAAATCGTGAGCCTGACTTTTTTTAAAATATATTTTATTGATTTTATACAGAGAGGAAGGGAGAGAGATAGAGAGTCAGAAACATCGATGTGGGAGAGTCATCAATCAGCTGCCTCCTGCACACCCCCTACTGGGGATATGCCCGCAACCAAGGCACATGCCCTTGACCGGAATCTAACCCGGGTCCCTTGAGTCCCCAAGCCGACGCTCTATCCATTGAGCCAAACCGGTTTCAGGGAGCCTTTCTAACAGGGGTGATAACTGCTGTTGGCCTCATGGCTGAGACCAGAACAGTTTTTTGCAATCCCAAAAATGATGGGCACCAGTCCGGCACTTCCTCGGGAAACTCTAGGGCAGGAAGTGCCAAGGTACATTCCTGCCGGGATCCGCACCTCCTTGATCGGAGGTCACTCACCCACCTCTAACCCTCCCTCTAGCAACAGCGAGGGCTCACTTTCTTCCTCTGTCCGTCTCTCTCCCCACCCGCTCCCAGGTGGCCGGGGAGTTCAAGTACCACCCAGAGTGCTTTGCCTGCATGAGCTGCAAGGTGATCATCGAGGATGGGGACGCATACGCCCTGGTGCAGCACGCCACCCTCTACTGGTGAGACATCGGCCCTGGGTCTGTCTTCCCCTCTGAGAATGGTCGAGGGCGGGACAGGGCAGCATGAGCTGGGCGGAAAGACGGCTTCCTCTCACAGCAGTGTGCTCAGCCTGTTCTGTAAGCTGTGAGCAAGACCGTTAGCATCCCCCCCGGGCCTCTGCCCTTACCTCTGTGAGATTACGGCATTCTGCCCTGCAGCCCTCCCACAGAGGGGGCAATGGCTGGGAAGGCGCCCTCAGAGGACCAGAGAGCATTAAAGGCAAAGGCCCCTTAGACCTCCCTCCATCCAACCGTCTCCTTTGATAAAAGAAATCAGGTTGAGGCCCAGAGTGGGGAAGGGGCTGGATCCTCACAGGGTCGGAGGCAGAGCAAAGAGAACCAGGCTTCTCATTCCGAGCGGCCCTCGGGACCGTGGAGGGACAGTAACCGTGGGGCTGCGGGTGCCGTTCTTAAAGCCGTGTGGTGCAGTGGTTACTGGGTCTTCCAGGGGAGGGGGGGCGCTCTGGGACCTTACCCCTTCCCGTTCCTCTCCCCAGTGGGAAGTGCCACAATGAGGTGGTGCTGGCGCCCATGTTCGAGAGGCTCTCCACGGAGTCTGTCCAGGACCAGCTGCCCTACTCCGTCACTCACATCTCCATGCCGGCCACCACCGAGAGCCGGCGGGGCTTCTCCGTGTCCGTGGAGAGCGCCTGTTCCAACTACGCCACCTCCGTGCAGGTGAAGGAGTGAGTATTCCGAGGACCCCGGAGCGGAGGGGTCCTGAGCCGGGTCCGTAGATGGGCCTCCAAGGGGCTCAGAACTCCGGAGTCAGATGCTGAGCTCCCTCCATCCTCATCTTACGCCTTCCCCCCCACCCCCACCCCCCCGGCGCTCCCGGCGCTGTAACCACACCTGGGCCTTGGCACCCACCACGCTGTCTGCCCAGGCCGCTTCCCACCGGATACTTAATGCCAGAACCGCTCAGCTTTCACGTGTCAAGTGTCAGATCATGTTAGCTCTCTGAAATTATCTGGCTTGGTTATTTGTATTAGTTTGTTTATCGTTTGTCCTCTCCACACGTTCCTTCTGGAATGTGGCTTAGTCTTTGTCCAGGACTGCATGCCTGGGGCCTGGAACGGCGCCTGGCGCATGGGAGGCGTTCATTGATTATTGTCCCATTGGTTGAGCGAGTGAACGGAGGGAGGAGAAAGAGATTAAGACTCCACCCCAGGTCCAGGCCTGAGATCTGGGTGGGAAGGAGTCTGTGTGCACCTCAATACCAGTAATGAGGCGCCTATGGCTGCTAACTCTGTGAAATCGTGATTGTGCTGCACACGGGGTGCTGGCAGTAGGTGAGAGTTAGGAGGGAGTCAGGAGGAGCTGAGGTCTCTAAAGCCTCATGAGATGAAGGGCGGTGGGGACTGTGTTTGGCACAGAGGTAGGACGCTGTGGTTGTGTCTGGCAGAGGCTGGGTGGTTGGGAGTAGCCAGAGAGGGAGTTGTTAAGTCACGGAGGGCCTGGATTATGAAGACTCAGCAGGTCTATTAAGGGATTAAAGCAGCAAAGTGATGCAATCAGGTTAGCATTTTAGAAAGATGGAGGGTGTGGAAGCTGGGTGGGAGGGGAGCAGGCCCGGAGATACAGAGACCAGCTAGGAGGCTGGTGCATGGTCCAGGGGAGAGATGTTGGTAGCTATGGCGATGGAGAGCAGGCAGGGTTCTCCAAGACGGTGAGGGTTGGGGGCCTCAAAGGGGCAGGGAGGAAACCCCGAAGGGAAGGCTGGCGCCCAAGTTTCTGGCTTGGGTGAGTGCCCGTTCTCTGTGGGTAGCCTGGGCCTTGGGGCCGGGTGACTCTTCCCTGCACAAGGGAAATTGGCCAGGCCTGTTTTTAGGGTTCCTTCACCTGCCTCAACTCTCCCGTCTGGTCCTAGGGTCAACCGGATGCACATCAGTCCCAACAACCGCAATGCCATCCACCCTGGGGACCGCATCCTGGAGATCAACGGGACCCCCGTCCGCACACTGCGCGTAGAGGAGGTAGAGCGGGTGTCCAGTCTGCCTGTGGGTGCGGGGCATGGAACAGACAGACCCTCTGGGAGACCACCCTGTGACCTTTGCCCTTCTCTTCCCCTCGTCTGTCTCTTTGTCTTGCCGCTGAGCCTGTGACCACTGGTGACCTCCTGTGCCAGCCTGGCATGTCCCCAGGGCTGCAGGAATGGCCTGACAGATGGGGAAGCTGACAGAGTGCCAGGCAGAGGGCACTGTGGGGTACTGGCATCTGGAGGCCACTGTTAGCCAACTTGACCACGGGCCACACTGTGCTTGGGTCCTCCGGGCTGGTGCAGGGTGGCCTGGGGGGAGCCGGGTGCGGGATCCAGCCTCACGCTGCTCCTTGGCCACAGGTAGAGGATGCAATCAGCCAGACGAGCCAGACGCTCCAGCTCCTGATTGAACACGACCCCGTCTCCCAGCGCCTGGACCAGCTGCGGCTGGACGCACGGCTCTCCCCCCACCTGCAGAACGCCGGGCACTCGCACACCCTCAGCACTCTGGACGTCAAGGAGAACCTGGATGGGACCCTGAGGAGACGCTCCCTCAGGTGCCCACACCCGTCACCCTGCTTCTGTGTCGCCCCGGGCCCGTCCCTCGGATGAGGCAGAGCTGGCTCTCGGAGACCAGCAGAGTCAGGAAGGGAACCAGCTGGCCAGGGACGGGCTGCGAGGATTGTGCTGAGCCAGCGCCCCGCAGGCAGATCACAGTTTCATAATCAGGACCTGTGCCTGATCCGACCCAGCTGTCCGCCAGGTTCCCTTAGAAACCAGGGGGTCATACCGTCCACTGCCCTCCTGACCGGGACAGGAGGCAGGGATGCCGGACTGCGAAGGATAGCGTGGCTTGTGGGGAAAACACGGAGCTTAGGGGCTGGCGTTGGGGCACAGGTAGGATTCATAAATATCAATAAGGATGTTGAAAACGATAAAGCAAGAGAGGAATGCAGGTTGTTTTGGATCTGAGCGACCAAAACCAAGTGTGCGGGGAGGCTGAAGGGGTAGGAGCTAGAGTGCCGGCTCCCAGGCTGGCACACCCCGATGGCACCTTCTAGCTGAGTCCCTCCCCCGCCCACCGCGCCGACTCGCCTGTCTCTGTCTGCCTCTGTGGGTGGAGTTGCGAGATAAAGGTGGCTGTCTCCCCAGTTACGTAAGGACTCGGTGTCAGAAAGGATGCAAAGCAGCCCAGAGACAGCACGCAGCAGAGGCAAGGCGCTGTTGGCGTTACTGGGAGTCAGGTTCTTTACCTGGATCGCTCAGGGCCCTCCGGCCTGGCGTCTGTTGGAAATAGGGCCCTCCCGACAGGTGGCTCCTGTCACTCCTGGCTGCCCTCTTGGCCTCAGCCAGCAGGAGCGAGCTGGTGGCGGCACGGCGCCAGAGGGCCGAGAAGGCCTGGGACGAGGGAAGATGCGAGTGGGGGTGGCCGGAGAGCCGCTCAGATACCTAGAGGGCCGTCATGCAAGAGAGAGGCCAGCTCACCTGGTGTGCCCCGCGGGCACGCACGGGCAGAAGAGCAGGGGCTGGGGAGCTGCGGGCCGTCCTTGCTGGGGAGCCCAAGGGAGACAGGCGTGTCCCCGGAGAGGAGGTTGCGGGATTGCAGTCCACCGTCAGTGCTGTGGACTCAGCGCCCCATCCTTCCTTCAGGAAGTCAAAGTCACAGTCACCGGCCATTACTATGACCGGCTGCTCTTAAAAGTGTAAACATACTGGCTTTGTTGCTGAAGAAATGATACGTGCCGATTATTCTTAAATGTAGGAAAGGTAGCCAGATACAAAGATGTGCAGAATATCCCAAATCCCCTTTGGCCATGTTGGGGGATGGCAGTAGGCTAGACCAGTGGTTGGCAAACCACGGCTCGTGAGCCACATGCAGCTTGTTGGCCCCTTGAGTGTGGCTCTTCCACAAAATACCACGGCCCCGGGCGAGTCTATTTTGAACAAGTGGCGTTAGAAGAAGTTTTAAGTTTTAAAAATGTGGCTCTCCAAAGTAATTTCAATCGTTGTCCTGTTGATATTTGGCTCTGTGGACTCATGAATTTGCCAAATCACTGGGCTAGACTGTGTGGCCCCATTACTGCCTCGAATGGAGCAGACGTGGACGGTGGATTACCACCTACCGTGCTGTCCCGTGCTAAGCGCTCTGCGCCAGTAGCATGTAGTCATTCATTCCAGGTGAGGAGTGCTCAGGGTTCCCGCTTTGAATGGACTTAAATATGCTATCGATGCTTGCAGCCCCCAAATGGTACATCTCTTGGACATACGAGTCCCCTTCCCCAGTCATGGCTCCTGAGCTACACACGTTGGGATGGTCGGGGTAGCCACAGGGTTTCCTTGGCAAGTCTCTGGGGGCTACCCGGTCCCTAGCACCCCCTTTCCTCATCCTCAGGCGCAGCAACAGCATCTCCAAGTCCCCCGGCCCCAGCTCCCCGAAGGAGCCCCTGCTGTTCAGTCGCGACATCAGCCGCTCCGAGTCCCTCCGCTGTTCTAGCAGCTACTCGCAGCAGATCTTCCGGCCGTGCGACCTGATCCACGGGGAGGTCCTGGGGAAGGGCTTCTTTGGGCAGGCCATCAAGGTAAGCACGGGCAGCAGCCGCTCTGTTCCTCCGCCCACCCCCCCCCTCCCTCGCCTTCTTTCGGGGAGTTCTTACCACGTGGTCTCACCATACGCCCTGCAGTTACACCGGGCCTCCTTCCTGGCTGCCGGTGGTGGCTGGTGGCGTAAGGGCTGCCCCTGCCACCCCAGTCCTCCCAGGCTCCCCGAGGTCAGCGTCGCTGTTGCAGGGAGCGTGGTGACCCGGGTTGGGGGGAGCTGTGCCTGCGGCCCACCAACATCCCCACGCCTCTGAATCAGAGCATTCTTTGTTCAGTGAACACGTCCTAAAGACAGCATGAGCTGGGGATAAGGGAGGCAGTCAACAGGCAGGGGGGTGTTTTTAGGCGCCCAGAAGCCCCTGTGCTGGGCCTGCTGCAGGCAGCCCACGGGGGAGTGGCTCCTGCCTCCCTGATGCGCAGTCTCGGGGACTAACCTCTCTCTCTCTCTCTTTCCTCCTCCTCCTCCTCTACTGAGAGCTGGGAGGGGGGGTCAGGTAAGCCATGCGTCTCAGCTTTGGGAGCACTGGGGCTGGAGAGCTCACCCCCAACCCCTTGAGCCCCCCGAGCGCATGTCTGTGGCATTGGCCTTCCTGCCCCAGATTCCTGTTCACCTGAGGGACTCACTCCCTTCTCAGATGATCAAAGCCCCCGCCTGGCTTGTCAGCCCCTCCTCCTGCCTCATCCCACACTTCCCTTTTCCGGGTCCTGGCTTCTCCCCGGTGCATGCCCAGCTCTCCGGGGACCGGGTGTGCTCCTCTCCGAGTCCCCTGGTGCCCCGTGCTGTGTCCCCGCACATGAACTCTGTCCACCTGACCTGGCTCAGCGCCTCCTCCGGGGATGGGGATGGCCAGCTGCGCTGAGTTTCACACGGCTCTCCAGAGCTGCCTCTGGTCTCTGCACCCGTGACCGTCGCCCTCCTTGTAGGTGACACACAAAGCCACGGGCAAAGTGATGGTCATGAAGGAGCTGATCCGGTGTGACGAGGAGACCCAGAAGACCTTCCTGACCGAGGTAAGAAGAGGGCGTGGCGTTAGGAGTTTGGTGTCCCTGCCGGAAGAGGGAAGAGCGTACTGAATGATGGTTTCAAGAGGAAACTTTCTTGGGAATCAGTCTCTTAAAGGCTGCGCAGGAAAGAGCACTAGAGGAACATCCCCACGCCTCTGAATCAGAGCATTCTTTGTTCAGTGAACACGTCCTAAAGACAGCATGAGCTGGGGACAAGGGAGGCAGTCAACAATGAGATGTGGTTCAGAGGTGCTCACAGATAACGGGGTGACACGCATGAAAATAACCCGATGTCATGTCTGTCCGGGGTGCTCCCCTCATGCAGCCGGTGCACCTGTGGTCCAAGTGCTGCCCTCCAGGCCTTTGCCTCACTCTTGGACCCGCCCACTCCAACACCCCCCATCCCCCATGCAATTCCTAAAAAGGCAGGATCCTGAGGGTGAGGCCCGTGGGGCCCTCCCCATCACATGCTGGCCCCCTGGAGACAAGGGGTGAGGAAAACACCATGGGGAGTAACCGCCCTCCCTTCTCGGCCTCCCCACCCCCAGGTGAAGGTGATGCGCAGCCTGGACCACCCCAACGTGCTCAAGTTCATCGGGGTGCTGTACAAGGACAAGAAGCTGAACCTGCTGACGGAGTACATTGAGGGGGGCACGTTGAAGGACTTTGTGCGCAGTGTGGTGAGTGTGCCGCCTCCGTTGTCCCCAGGAGCTTGGTGGGCTGGCAGTGGGACACCTGTGTCACCACTATCCTGAAGCCATGCTAGCCGGAGAGACTCACTGCTTTGCCTACAAAGGCTGTGACGGGTGGGGCTGGGCGCAGGCAGAGACCATGCTGGGATCTGGACCGTGAGTGGGGACGGGACCCAACAGCCTCTGATGATATCCCCACCCCTATCCTGCAGGACCCGCTGCCCTGGCAGCAGAAGGTCCAGTTTGCCAAAGGCATCGCCTCTGGAATGGTGAGTCTCGGCACTGACCTTGCCAGCGAGTTGGCAAGGGAGGTGAGGCGGGGAGGGGGGCAACAGTTGGGAGAGATGCAAGGATTGTGAGCAGGCATTGGAAGGCAGCTCATGTGGGCTGGGCAGCTCATGCTGAGCTTCTCCCTGAGCCAGTGAACTTGACCCCAGATGGCTGTTCTCAGCTCACAACCCTACTCTCAAAGGATCCAAATCTTCAAGGGCAAACAGGACAATTGGAGATTTCGGGAGCCAGCAGTGAGAGCTAAGAGCAGCCACTGGGTTGGAGAGGATGGGCAGGAGGCGGCAGTGGGAGAGAGGACGCCCAGGCGGCCTTTGGCTTTCTGTTGGTGTTGGGACAAGGGAGTGACGGCAGGGGGGCTGGGCTCTGGAGTCCAGGTTGGGTTCTGAAGGCGGGTGGGGTCGGCCTGGACGAAGAGCCAGGTCGATGGCCCAGATCCGGAGCCCGCGAGCGATTGGTCTCTCGGCCATCGTCCTCAGCTCGGACTTCTGTTTCAGGCCTATCTGCACTCCATGTGCATCATCCACCGGGACCTGAACTCGCACAACTGCCTCATCAAGCTGGTATGTCTCACTGTCCTGGGTCTCCCCGGGGCCAGCCCTCCAGGCTTCCTGGTCACAAAAGAATAGACTGTCCTTCTCGCTTTAGGAGAGATGTCGCCTGGGGCTCCTGTTTGCCCTTCCTGCCGCCTGCAGTGCCCTTCTCTGTCTTCTGAGCTCTCAGGCACTCGCAGATACAGTTCCATCTCCTCCCAGTGGCAGCCTTTGCAATCCTTTGGTTAGAAGGGTTTCTGTGCATACACAGCCCCGTCACGTTCCTGCTTTTGCCCCCTGATGGTCCTGAAAAGCAGCTCACGGTGGGCCCCGTTTTACCGCTCTGGCGCCTGGGGCCACAGGGCTAGTGCATTTGCAGTGACCGGGTTGGGGGCCTGCATTCCTCCGGCTGGTGGGCCAGCTCCAGTTGTTACAACGTTATTCCTCCTATGGACGTGCAGTCTAGCTTCCTGGGTGCCCACTAACTTGCCCTGGCTTCACCTCTGGACCCAAACCATCTTAATCCCTTTTCCACATGACTGTTCCATAGCTATTTATTTATTTTTTTAATCCTCACCCAAGGACATGTTTGTCATTGATTCTACTAAGAGAGGAAGGAGAAGGAGAGAGAGAGAAACATGCATCGGCAGCCTCTCATCTGTGGCCCCGCCAGGGATCCAACCCGAAACCCGGGTCTGTGCCCTGATTGGGAACCAAACCTGAGACGAGGCTCTCCAGGGCATGGGACAGAGCTCTAACCGACTGAGCCACACCAGCCGGGGCCCCAGAGCTAACGGAAGAGCTTTTCTCCCCAAGTGCCCAGCTGACTGCCTCTACCTTGTCTTTTTTCTGTCTTCTCCTGATTCTAGCCATGGCATTAAATTTTGGGGGGAAGCTCTGGCAGGTGTGATTCAGTTGGTTGAGTGGCGTCCCATGCACCAAATGTCACCAAATGCTCTGACAAGGCAAGCTCTGACTGGGTTGTAGCTTGATCCTCAGTAGGGGGCATGCAGGAGGCAACCAATCAATGTTTCTCTCTCTCTCTCTCTCTCTCTCTCTCTCTCTCTCTCTCTCTCTCTCTTCCCCCCCTCCTTCCCTCCCTCTCTCTCCTTCTCCCTTCCTCTCTCCCTAAACTCAAAAAAAAACATATTTAAAAAAAATACTGTGGGGGACAAACAAAACGAAAGAAACTCCCTGTCCTGCCTCTGAGTCCAACTCTCCAGTTCTCAGAGCCTCCTCCTCCAGGCTCCAGGGGCTCTGCTGTGAGCACCCCCAGATCTCTGGAATCCGCTGTGAGGAGCTACCAAACTGTTAGCAAACAGCATGCTGAGCCTTCTCTGCCCGAGGACTTCAGCTGGGACTCACCCTCCTTTGCTGCCCATCTTTCCTCTCCTCCTCAATGACGCCTCTTAGAAACGCCCCCGCCGAGTCCTGACCTGGCCCTTGTCCCGCCAGGACAAGACCGTGGTGGTGGCAGACTTCGGGCTGTCTCGGCTCATCGTGGAGGAGAGGAAGAAGCCCCCGGTGGAGAAGGCCACCAGCAAGAAGCGGACCCTGCGCAAAAACGACCGCAAGAAGCGCTACACGGTGGTGGGGAACCCCTACTGGATGGCCCCCGAGATGCTGAATGGTGAGTACCCGGTGCCCCGAGGGGACACTTCTCACAGCAGAGCCCCGGGAGCTCCCGGGGAGGCCTGTGAAGGGTCAGGCCAGGTTCCCGGAGCTGAAGGCTGCGTTTCTATCTGTCCCCAGGCAGACTGGGCCTCACAAACTCCTTCCTCCCTGAGCGCAGCCCACGAGCTAGTCAGTGCCCCATCCGAGGTTTCGGGTTTGGTCTGGCTGAGACTTTTGAGTGGGTGAGGGCCCAGGCACCTACTGCCTGATGTAGCCTGTCCTCCTCTCTCGGGGCTGAGAGCTGAAGTGTGGTGCCCTCTTGTGGATAACGCTCACACCAGCCTGAGCCGCTGGCTGGGGTTCTTGAAACCCACGGGGCTGTGAGGCCTCAGAAATGAACCGTCTGATACAACCCTTTTCGGAATCCGAGGCCCAGAGAAGCCCAGTGGTTTGCCCAGAAGCACACAGCTGGCTAACAGCAGAGTCCAGATGATCCCAGGCCCCGTGCTCTCTCCCTGTCCCGGGCGGTCTCATCGCGGGCAGTTGTTGATTTATAACATCTTTCCAAGGCAGCGCACCCAGGGCCGAGGAAAGGGGGCTTCCGGGTGGTACCAGGCCCAGGAAGGCTTTGGGGGGGTGGGGTCCCCACGGATCCAGTTCTCGTCCCGGTTCTCGGCTGTGGCCTGGCTGGGCCCGAGACTCGGTGCAGAGCGGGTCAGGGACCAGCCCTAACAGCCCGCTCCCCTGTGTTCCCCAAGGAAAGAGCTACGACGAGACGGTGGATGTCTTCTCTTTCGGGATCGTCCTCTGCGAGGTGAGCTCCGCACGCACGTAGGCCAGGCCCGAGGCAGCAGCTCTGTCCTGCCTCCCGAGAGAGGCTCCTCCTCCTGCAGATGAGTGACTTGCCGTGAAGTCAGCACAGTGTAGGGTTATCTGTCACCACGCATCTCTTAGCACAGTCGGATTGCATTGGTCCCGTAAGGCCGGGGCAGGATTTTTCTCGGGTGCGGAAAATAGTCTCAGAAAGGGAGAGTGGCTTGCTCTTTGTCACACAGTCAGGAAGGGGCGGGCGAGGCTCAGAACTCCGCTAGGAAAGGCAGGCTGTTCCTGTGGCCGACTGTCTAGCCCGAGGCAACGTCTCCCCCTGCCCTCCGCCTGGAAGTGGAAGCAGCCACTCCAGGAAGTGCCAGCGCTAGGCGCTGGGGAGGAGGAGACGGGGAGAGGTGGGGAAGACAGAGTCCTGGGAACAGTCCTGCCCTTAGGAGCTTAGTTCAGTCGATCTCGAAGCAGTCGGCTGAACACATACAAGGGTTTCTGTAATTCCTACAAAGTGGTGAGTGGTAGAGAGACAACGGATGATGGAATATGAAGAAAAGTTCTTTTAAAAATTATTATTAATTTTTAATTAATTTCAGAGAGGAAGGGAGAGGAAGAGATAGAAACATCAATGATGAGCCGAAACCGGTTTGGCTCAATGGATAGAGCGTCGGCTTGGGGACTGAAAGGTCCCGGGTTCGATTCCAGTCAAGGGCATGTACCTTGGTTGCAGGCACATCCCTGGTGGGGGGTATGCAAGAGACAGCTGATCGATTTTCTCTCATCGATGTTTCTAACTCTGTATCTCTCTCCCTTCCTCTCTGTACAAAATCAATAAAATATATATATTTAAAAAAAAGAAACATCAGTGATGAGAGAGAACCATTGATCGGCTGCCTCCTGCACGCCCCCTACTGGGGATCGAGTCCATAACCCAGGCATGTGCCTTTGAATGGAATCAAACCCAGGACCCTTCAGTCCGCAGGCCGACACTCTATCCACTGAGCCAGACTGGCTAGGGCGAAAATCGTTTTCTTTAATAGAGATCACTTGAGTAGCTACTGTGTATAAAGCTGTAGGCTGGTGCCACAAGATCTCAGACATGCGTCAGACCCAGCCCCTCGTTTCACAGAGCCTGGACTCTGGCGGGGGACACTGCAGGGCATGGAGGGGTGTGTGGGAGCTGTCCCTCCAGATTCGGAGCACGGTGGCTCCACTGCAGTAAGACCTCCTAGACCCTCCTCAGCATTCAGACTCTCAGTCAAAAGACATGTCCGGATTAACAAGACTCCGAGAGGCAGGGTTGGGGAGGGTGGCTCTCCAGCCTCGGTCTTCATCTTCCTCTTCTGCCCGTGCTTCCTGTGCACGTGCCAGCATCCCTCTCCCCTCCTGGGGGCCGCACCCTCCATAGTCCCTGTCTGACCAGCCGCCTTCTCGCCTGCAGATCATCGGGCAGGTGTACGCAGATCCTGATTGCCTGCCCCGCACACTGGACTACGGCCTCAACGTGAAGCTTTTCTGGGAGAAGTTTGTCCCCACAGACTGCCCCCCGGCCTTCTTCCCCCTGGCCACCATCTGCTGCAAACTGGAGCCCGAGAGCAGGTTGGTAGCTGCCCCTTTGCCCCCGCCCACAGGGTCCTGGGAGGCTTGCCCCGCCTTTGGCTGTCCCCTCGCCCTTCCCAGGCACAGGGGTGGTGGAAGGCTTGAGCTCAAGGTTGTGACTGTCAGCCACTGAAGGCACCAGACAACTGACAAACCAGATGGGGGGTGGAGGGGATGAGGGCATGGTTGCAAGTGACCTGGGTGTGACACAGAGACACAGCCGTTCAAAGAAATTTTAACGGGACCCACCCAAACCTACACCTTTCTAACAGAATAAGTGTCTTCGTGTCTCCATACCCCCCTGTCCATGTTCACACACACCACACACACGTTTTTTATAAATTGATGATCTCAAATAGAGAAACATTTTTTATTTTACCCTGTATTTTCCTTGTTGCTACCCAGGCTTTCTGTTTAGCATTTTTGTTAACTACCTGAAATTCTATTCTAGGAAACTCTCTGAACATATGATATACACGATGTAGATGTTCAGGTTTTTCCAGTTTCTCTTTACAGTAATTATTATTACTACAGTGAGCATCTTCATGCATTTACCTAATTTCCTTCTTGAAAGAAATCTTTTTTTAAAGCATATCTTTCACAGATAAAGCAATGTTTATTTGTATATATATATATATTTTTTTTTTTAATTTTTATTGCATTTTTTACAGAGTGGAAGAGAGTTAGAAACATCAATGAGAGAGAAACTTTGATTAGCTGCCTCCTGCACACCCCCTACTGGGGATGTGCCCACAACCAAGGTACATGCCCTTGACCAGAATGGAACCTGGGACCCTTCAGTCCACAGGCCGGCGCTCCATCCACTGAGTCAAACCTGTTAGGGCAGAAAGAAATCTTTTTAAAATTTTCTTCGTTTCCTCAAGTTACAACTTTCATTATTACCAAAGTTACCCTGGGACTTTTAAAGTTCGTGCGTTAGAGACCTAGAATCTTTGTGCTTTTTTTTCTGCTATCAAAAATCTGTTTCTTTTAAAAGCAGATTTGCACACTATCAAAATACCTAGCACGGGAATTATCTATCTTCTATAATCTCCAATAAGTTAGAGCATTGACCAGTCAGGGTACATGCTTGGGGTTGTAGGCTCGATCCCCAGTGTGGGGTGTGCAGGAGACAACTAATCAATGATTCCCTCTCATCACTGATGTTTCTATCTCTCACTCCCTCTCCCTTCCTCTCTGAAACCAATAAAAATATTTTTTTTTTAATCAAAAGAAAAATTTTTAAAAAGACACTTTCTCCAATCCCACCTTTACTGATTGCATTTTCTCCAAGTCCTGAGAGGAGCTTTATTTCCTCCTGGACTTTCTGTTTCTCCGCTATCCCTTAGAGCCAGCCCAGCCTTCTCACAGTGTTATCTCTAACCACCTTTACAGCATCCTGTTTCCCTTGGAGGCCCAAGGAGGCCCTCCTGGACTTTGTTTCTCCGCTATCCCTTAGAGCCAGCCCAGCCTTCTCACAGTGTTATCTCTAACCATCTTTACAGCATCCTGTTTCCCTTGGAGGCCCAAGGCTTGCCCAAGGTCAGACAATTAGAAAATGGTTAAGCCGCACTCCTGGGTGCCTTCCACACCAGCCCACGGCCCTACCCATGTTTCGCCTGCCTCCAACCCCTTTGTCTTTCTAGGCCGGCATTCTCCAAACTGGAGGACTCCTTCGAGGCCCTGTCCCTGTACCTGGGCGAGCTGGGCATCCCGCTGCCCGCCGAGCTGGAGGAGCTGGACCACACTGTGAGCATGCAGTACGGCCTGACCCGGGACTCGCCCCCCTAGCCCTGGCCCAGCCCCCTGCTGCGGGCAGGGCCATGCCAGCTTCCTGTGGATCGGCAGCTTGTTTAGAAGCACAGAACAAGCCATCCCTACTACCTCCCCAGGAGGCGAGCCAGGCGCGGCGCCAGGGAGATGCATCTCCTCGCGTGTTGGGGCCTGGTGACTGTCTGAACACCCAGCACTCGCCTGAAAGCTGTGAAGAAGAAGAAAAAAAAACAAAAACAGGCTGGTCCCTGGGCCAGGAGGAATCTGTTACTCGTGGCCTCTCGGGAATTCCCTGGGATTCCAGGCTCTTGCTTACACTAATCAGCGCGCTCTGGCCCTGCCAGGCAGGATTCTGGGGAGAGCCAGCCCCTGGGCTCCGAGGTCTGGGGTCCAGCTGAGGATTGGAGTCCTTCAAGCGGCCAGTCGGTCGGTCGGTCGGTCGTGTGGATGAGAGCAAGACGGGGCCAGGCTGCAATCCAAGGATGTGAACTGACAGTGGTGCTACCCTCCTTTCACCCCAGGCCCCGCCCTCCCCTGGGCGGGGTCAAGGGAACAGGCTTGGAAGAGGCCCTTTGTTTGTGGCCAGGAGTGGGAAGGGCTGGTTTCTGTTCACCTGCCAGGCCACATCAACACAAGGGGGAGCTTTCGCCTCATGTTCTCACACTGCACTGTGCATGGAGCATCTCTCTGCCTGCAGCAGGAAGTCGCCCACCTTGCAGGAAGAGGCTGGGGGTAGGAAAGAAAAAGACGCTGCTCTCTGGAAAGCCTGTATCCTGGCTGCTGTCCCTTGGAGCCTGAGACATGTTGCCTGGAGCTGGCTGGATTCAGGAGGATAGTGGGGCCTATCCCGAGCCCAAGCATGAGGCTGGGGGAGTGGGCGTCTCAGCAGCCTCTTGGCCTTACGGCAGCTACTGCCCACCCTTCACCAGGCCTAGGTCCAGGCGCCAACTTGGGCAGGAAAAGGAGGTGGCAGAGTCCCAGAGCTTAGTCCCTGAGCCGGGCCACCTGTCCCGGGCTTCCCCTGCTGGCTAGCCCACCTCACTGGCTCCTGGCTGCAGCCTCCTGAGCCGCAGCCACGGGTGCTGCCAAGCCCTTGGGGAAGCCTCTACCCTTGGCTCCCAGAACTCCAGGGACTCAACACAAACAGACTCTGTCTCCTCCTCAGTGTCCGTGAGCAAGCTTGCGCCGTATTTAACACATTGGGGATGGGTCGGGATGTCGCTGTGATGTGTGGTGGTTGTGTCGGGGTGGGAGGGAGGAGGGGGTGGGAGCAATTCCGGAGAGTGGTTGCTGTTAATACTATCCTGTTCTCTGTGTTGGGTGACATGTGAAATACTGCTCATAGACCCGGTGAGTTGCGGGATGAGATGTCCCCTCTGGCCACGTCACACAGGCGGCACTGCTGTGTGGTGCGTGCAAGCCCTGCGCCCCCAGCAGCAGCAGGGTGGGCGCTGTGTGGCTGGCTGGGCCTCAGCTGTCCCCTGCCAGCGTGGGAGCGGTGGCCCCCATGGAGCCGTCGAGCAGACCAAATAAATTAAGCCGTTAACATAACTGACGACACTGAGAGTAAAATGCAACTTGGGGTCTGGCTCCGGGGACACACGTCGGGGGTCTGCTGGCCTGTCTGCCAGGAAGTGCACGGCCTCCCCTGTTCCCTTAAATGCTACTGGCCTTTCTGGGTCCAGGTCACGTGACTCCCCACAGCGGGGAGTCCTCACGCTCCCTAATTGTCATCCCCTCCGCTAGTGTAGACACCAGCCTGCTCCAGAGAACAGGCTCATCCCACCTGAGGCAGCCCAGTCCTTAAGCAGGTCTGAGGACTACCAGCCGAGACGCTCCTTTGGGGCCTTACACTCCTGCCTCTGCGTTCATTCCTAAAGCCTGGCTGTGCTAGATCCTCTCCGCAGGCCTCGTGCCCTTTGCCGATAGAACTGTAGTGTCTGGCCGTGGGCAGAGATCACCGGGGTGTTCCAGAGGCTGAGAAACTATTGCTGCAAGTCCAGCAAACACTCCCGTTGGTGGCTGTCTCTGGAACCTTAGGAGTCACCCCCTCAGGGACTTTCCTCAGCTCAGAGCTGTCCTGGCATCCCAAGGACTCCTCCCCCTCTGCACGCCCATCCCGCCTGTGGCTACTCCAGCCCCAGCCAAGGGCTTCCCGGCAGGGACAGACCCCGGGCCACACCGGTGTTGACTAGATAACCAGCAGTTTCTCAGCTCACGGGAGGAATGTTCCCAACACCCCACAGACTTGGTAATGTGCAGTCCTTTTTAAAAAAAATTTTTTTTTATTTATACAAGTAAAATGCAGAGCCATTTCCTGCCCTAGTTATGCAGGTGTCAGAATGAGGTATATAAAACACGTACACAGAGAAACGCTTTCATAGGAAAGTAGAAATCAGTGATGTTCTTGTCAGCATCACTGAGCCCCAAAGAACCCCCTGAGCTTTTTCCCCCAGCAAACCACCTGCTAGAGAGAACGGGCCCCACAAACCCCCCCTCTCCACATGGGGCAGCGGACGGGCCTTGGGGAAGGAAGCTCTGTGGATAGGTGGCATTGCTAAGGCCTCCGAATGCGACATCAGGACCGGGAGGCCCTGCTGCGCTGCTGGCACAGTGTAGCACAGTGGGTAGGGAAATGTCCTCTCCTCTTGGCCACGCATGCCGGTCACTTTATGACTTTGTGTGTCCCTTTCCCCCTCTGGGCCTGAGGAACCCTAGGGTCTCTTCCAATGGTTTTATGATTGTTTTAAAGTTAGGGGGCGTGACCTCGCTACCTCTCTCCATTGCCACCCCCACTCCCCACAGAGCCACCTGCAAACTCAGGCCACTGCAGGGGCAAGCCCTGAATCACCTTCTTATCTGGCCTCTGAGCGCAGTCTCCTGGCTGACCTCCGAGAGGCACTCACAAGGCCCCACAGGGAATTCCCACGGGTAGGCTGTCATAACCCCACCAAGAGAGAAAGAGGTCGCTGTCCACCTTGGAGAGAGACTCTGGGGCACCCCAGGCCCACCTCGGGTCCCGAGGCAGCCTTTACCCTCTTCCTGAGCGAAATGTCAGTCAACTCTTCCTTTTTTCTTAAATATGTAACGCTTCAGGAATCTGCTTGTCATGCCTGTGCAGGGACCGTGCTCATCTTCTCCGTATCGTTCCCATTTTAGTAGACGTTCTGCGAGGTGAGCACCTTCCTCTCAAAACAGGAAGTGCCTGGGCCTGGCCGAGCCCACTGCTGTCGAGGCGTGTCACCGCCAGCAAGCTAGAGCCCACCGAGCACCCCCCCGGCCTGGCCCCAATTCTCAGCCCGCACTGCTGACTTTTGAACAAACTCATTTCCGGTTCTCACGAGGTCAGCGGGGCGTTCCATCCCAAAGGTTGTTTCAGTATAATTTTTTAAGCGTTGCCTTCTCAAACTGCTGGACCTGAACTACGAATAACAGCGTGCGTGTGCCACTCAAGCCCACGGAGGACACACGGAAAAGTGGAGACTGAGGCCACGCTAGATCATAAAGCACAGAGGAGCCCGGGGAGCTCCCTGTCCGTCCCTGATTCAGCTCCAGGACTCGGGCAATGTGGCCACCGTCTCCATCCACGGACAGACCCCTGCTCCAGGGGTTGCAGACAGAGCACTGGTAGGTCCCTCCCCAATTTCGCCCCCAGCCAACAGGGCAGCCTGCGTCTGTCTTAAGGTTCACCAAAAACCAAAAGGAAAAAAAAAAAAAAAAAAGTGGAGGGAGGGTTTTTAACCACAACAGAAAGTGTAGATCTTCCCGGCTGTGAGAGGGTAGGCCATCCTGCACCAGTGTCCGCACGGGCTCCTGCCCACGGCAGGGGGCTCAGGCCCCAGGAGTGCCTGCCTGGCCCATCAGGGGGGCATCACCGTCCTGAAGATCGACGGGCGTCTGGCTGGGGTGGACCACAACTGTCGTCTCATCCACAAGGTCACAGGTGGCGTTGGTGAAGGCGGACAAGGGCAGGGTGATGGGCTGCATCTCCCGCTCATGCACCTTCTGGTCATACTGTTCTTTCAGGCGCTTCACCCTGGCGAGGAAAGGGGGACGCGTTCAGGCTGTGCCTCTTGCGTGGCTTTGCCCAGGCAGGGCAGGGGCTAGCTGCAGTCACAGCAACCCAGTGGCTGATGTACTAGCTTTCTCATATATATATATATATATTTTTTTTTTTTTTTGACTTAAGAGAGGAAAGGAGAGGGTAGAAAGAGATTAAAAAATGAATGATGAGAGAAAATCACATCAATCGGCTGCCTCCTGCACACCCCTTACTGGGGATCGAGCCCCCAATCCGGGCATGTGCCCTGACCCGGAATCGAGCTTAGGACCCTTCAGTCCGCAGGCCGACACTCTATCCACTGAGCCAAACCTGCTAGGGCCAGTCTTCCTTACTAAGAAAGCTTGCAATAAATGTTGGCTGCTACTGTCACTGTTTAACCTGATCGGTGTTCTGATTTACATTTAAAACAGTATGATACTCTTGGGGTGGGTAGGTATGGTGTGTGTGGAGGAAGGATATATCCCCATTTCACAGTCAAAAAACCGAGGCGCAGAGTAACAAAATCTAAACGCAACAGCTCTTTTCAGAACAGTCTCTTCTCTGATTCTAGGGAGAGCTTGCCTTTAGCCTAAGTGTGGTTTCCTGTCCCATAGTCTGTACTGTACTTAGTGTACTTCTGCAGAGGGAAGGGCGGAGGGGGTCTTGTGGTTAGTAACCGGGAGTCTGGTGACTTGTGGCTTGCCCCGAGTTTACCGTGCCTTACCGGAAGATAAATTCTAGGCCTCAGGGCAATCACATGACAGGCTGGAGTGAACCTACAAGAAAGGCCTGGCCCCCTCGCTGGCATGAGAGCCGAGCTCAAAATGAAGAACGTTTAGCCCTGGCCGGATTGCCTCAGTGGATAAAGCATCAGCCTGGGGGACTGAAGGGCCGTGGGTTTGATTCCAGTGCCGTGGAAAAATGTTCAGCCAGCTCACCTGGAGGCCTGGACACTGTCACAACATTGGAGGAGGGAGTCCACTGCTGTCCAGTGGCTGAGGAAGGAGGGCGACGCGCGGCCAATATGGTTTGATTCTGACTGCAAATGGCAGGTCAGGGCCTCCGCATCGTTTCACCTGACTTACTTGCCCCCACCTGTGCCTCTGCTTCCTGAATCACAGAAAAACCAGAGAAGGAAGAGGGGCTTTTCTTTCACAAAAAAGAAAAGACAGTTTCTGACCACAGAGCTAAGCGGTCACATGCCTTAGCAGCAGCACTGCTCTGGGGCAGGAAATAGAAGCAACTTTCCAGTAGGGAGTGCGTAAGAGGCAGCTGATCGATGATTCTCTCTCATCGATGTTTCTAACTCTCTCTTCCTCTCTCTGAAAAATCAATAATAAATAAATAATAAATAAAGGGTTGGCCTCCCTAACTGCTAGTTGTGTGATCTCAGGCAAGGTGCATCTCCTCTCTCTTCCCAATTTCCTAATCTGTAAAGACGGATAACAACAGCATTTGCCTCGTAAAGGTGATGGTGAGAATGGACGTAAAGCCTGCAGACCGCTTGAAGCAATGTCTGGCACCTGGTAACTGTTTCCTATGCTTGCTGTTGTCATTGCAAACATTTTCTTTTTTCATCTGTGAATGAGGAGACGGACTATGTATCACCTCTGAGGACACCTGAGATTTATTTACTGCTGGGCGATCCACTGGGGCTATGGCCGTGGCCACCAGGAAAAGCAGGCTGCCACGTCACTTCCCTTACAGAAAGCCTTATCACACCCTGGAGAGAAACAGTACCCTCGAGGCTGAGGTCCTTGATTTTGCCCAAGAATGGCAAATAATTTCCCCTGTCAGAAGGAATGCACCTCAGGCTTATCATCATGCACCTGTCACTGACATTGAGAGCCTTTCCACATGGTAGCTCAGCGGTAATTCGTGGAAGAGCCACACTCAAGGGGCCGAATTGCCGCATGTGACTCACGAGCCTCGGTTTGCCGACCACTGGTCTAGGGCCTCACTTTTTTGGGGGCGTAAGAATGCCATAAAGGAATCTGAATCTGTCCCTTCCTTTGAGGGACATCCAGAAGAGAAGCCACTTACCTCTTGTAGGTGTATCCAAAGATGATGCCAACTCCGATGGCAATTATGATCACTATCATGCCCATGCCCAGCACATTGCCTGCCAAGGACAGGACACAAGGCCCCATTAGCCATGCCCCCGACAATTAGCAAATATTCCTTCATGAATCCCATATAAGGACAGGGGTGGAGCAGTCATACCCAGGATCCCCAAGTCCTTTTTCTCCTTGGAGTTCCCCTGAACCCGCTGGACCATTCCAACTACGGGCTGCACGGTCGCTGCCTGGCTCCGGACGGACAGGGAATTGGCAGGAGCAAACAGCTGCACCGCATCTCCTCTTGGCACTTCAAACGTCTCCTCTGTCTCTGTCACGGAGGTTGGCAGGTCCTGGGAAATAGTTTCTGGAGGGGAAGTGGAAAACAACTCTCATCAGAGAGTGGTCTGAGTGAATGCCACAGCCGGACCTTCCTTAGAGTGTGTGTTGGGGGAGATGAGGGATCCAGCTCAGAATGACCAACACACACCGAAATCAAACTCCCCGTTGGGTAACACTATCGCTGGGACAAAGCCAACGTGAGGGGAAGGCCCTAAGGAAGGGTCTCTCCTGCCTCCCACGTCTTCATCTGTCCAAATCCTCGCTATCTTCCAACACCCAGCTCCATTGCCATCCTCTCCACCAAGCTTCACTCATGACTCCCCTGGGCAGCTCACATTTACGGTGCCCACGCTGTGTGTGCCAATCCCCGGGTTACAACTTTATACACAGCCATTGGACCCTAGAAAACAGTCTTGCTGCCTCGGGAGCAACTAGCCTGTGCCCTGGAAAATTAAGAAACTGGAATTCACCCCTGACCGGTTTGGCTCAGTGGCTAAAGCCACGGCCTACGGACTGAAGGGTCCCAGGTTCGATTCTGGTCAAGGGCATGTACCTTGGTTGCGGGCATATCCCCAGTGGGGGGTGTGCAGGAGGCAGCTGATCGATATTTCTCTCTCATTGATGTTTCTGACTCTCTGTCCCTCTCCCTTCCTCTCTGTGGGAAATCAATAAAACATATTTTTTTAAAAAGAAGAAAAAGAAACGGATTTAATGTGAACGCTGCCATTCAAGGCCTCTCTAAGTCACTTCTCTGAGTCTTAGATCCCCCAAATACCTTATTCGGGGGGGGGGGTTGTGAGCAGAAGAAAACACACAGCAGGAAACCCACAAACGTTCAGCAAAGGCTGAACGATCGCTCAGGCCGTGGGACCGGGTCCCAGGGAGCTCTCCCTCGGGGAACTCCACGGGGCCGGGCCTCGCCCCCTTCCGTTGTTTACAGGGCGCTCCCGGAAGCTGAGCGCACGCGCCAGCCAATGGGCTTTGCGCCCCGCGGCCTGGAGACAGGCCTGACCAATCAGAGGGCGCGGGGCCGGCGGCACGGGCCGCTCCTCCGCGGTCGCGGCGCGGGGGTCCCGGGCGGGTACCTGGGCAGCGCGGGTCCTCGCAGCGCCGCTTCTCGGGGGCGCCGGCCTCGCCGCTGACGTAGCACCAGGGCCCGCGCGGGTCCCGGTCCGGGTTGCGGCAGTAGCTGTGGTTGCCGGCGCCTGAGGGGCGAGAGAGGAGGCGCCATGGGCGGGGGCCGCGGGCCGGGACGGAGGCCGCCGCCCTCCCGCCCGCCGCCCGCCGCCCGCCTCAGGGGGACACTCACCCGCCGCGGGGGCCGAGGCCAGGCGGCTGTGCGCCTCCAGCCAGTTGAGGCAGCGGAGGCCCGGCGCCGGGGACGACTGGTCCGCCCGGTACCGGCGGCCGTTGTCCTCCCAGCAGCCTGTGAGGAGAGGAGCCCCCTCAGACACGGTCCGGCGAGCCGGGCTCTCCAGCCGCTGGACCCGGGGGAAACCGCGCCGGGGCTGGACTGAGCTCTCGCTTTTTTCTTATTTTCCCCCTTTATTTTTGTTTTTGTTTGTTTGTTTGTGGGGGCTTTTTGTTTATTTTTTTTAAGCCGGAAAGCATTACTAGACACGTGCCAGGAGGGTTCCTGTTCTGGAACCCGCGGCCCCGTCTGAGGAGGAGGCCTGGGGGGTTGGGGTTCGGTGGGGCAGCCGGGCCTGAAGAAAATGCGTCCCCGTGGTGTCATCCCGCGTTACATAAAGTCCGGTGTCCCCTTCCCCGCAGCCGCCCTTCCCCAGGGACCCTCCCTCCTGAGGGGACGCCTGGGCTCAGCCGGGGCGGCCACAGGGGGAGCCTCATACGCCGCCTGGAGGGTAACTCCGAGGTCCCACTCCCCTCAGCCCGAGAGGCCGGGGAGGGAGGGCTGTGCTCTGGCCAGCACCATCCCTTGCAAAGCCTCTGAAAAGAACAGGACTCGGGGGGTTCGGGGGGAGAGGACTCCCTCAGTTCCATCCCCTCCTGAGCCACAAGCAAGGGAAGGGAAAGAGAAAGTAGCTCCTTGGCCTTTGTTCTTAATGGCCAAGATGGAGCTGCAAAGCCCCCTGGCAAGGAAAGGAAGGAGGGGAGAGAGAGGGGGGAGCTTTCGTGGGACACACCAGCTAAAAGCATCCTTTCCTGACATCTGGGAGGCCTGGGAAATAGGGGGCCACTCCCCTCCCCGCCTCACCGAGTTGCTGCAGAAAGGAGAGGTGGTCACCTTACCTCCAGAGGCATAGGCTTCTGCTAGGAGCGTGTTGCTGATGAGGAGGGTCTGCACCCAGGCCACCAGCATCCTCACCGCCTTCATCTTGCAGGTGATTTGACCAGCTGAGGTCCCCTCGGTGGCAGTCCCAGCCCAGCAGCCAGACCTGCCCTTGTTATGCTCTTGTGGTAAACAGCCTCTCTTTAGAACTGGGAGCTTCCCAGCTAGCTTGCTGCAGGGAGGTGTTGTTTTTTCGCTGAGAGGCGCCACAGGCGCCCCCTGGCTCCTCTAACATGCAAGATCACTAACCCTGAGCCAAAAGAGGAAGCGGCTCAGCGGAGAGAAGAGAGGCAGAGAAAGTCAGCTGGCTTGTGGTTTGCAGTGAGATCTGCAGCGGCTGCATCCGCAGGGCTTTTTGCCTCTCCTGTTTCCATTTGTGCAGAAAGGGTAATTCCGTCAGGAGGCATTATTGGAGGGAGGGAGGTCTGGAATGATAATAGTCTCCCAGGCAGTACAACTTAGGGAGAACATGCTAGCTTCAACCAAGAGGGACTCAGAACCACAGAGATGGCACAAATAACAGTATCCAGGAAACTCTTGATACCCCTTCATATATATACCGTGTTTCCCCCAAAATAAGACATCCTCCGAAAATAAGACCTAGCGCACGGAAAGATAAGGCATCCCCTGAAAGTAAGACCTAGCGCAACTTTGGGAGGAAAAAAAATATAAGACACTGTCTTATTTTGGGGGAAATAGGGCATATATGGATAAAATTGATTTCAGAGAGGAAGAGAGAAACATCAGTAATGAGAGAGAATCATTGATCAGCTGCCTCCTGCGCACCTCCTACTGGGGATCAACCCCACAATCCAGGCATGTGCCCTGACTGGGAATTGAAACCTGGACTTCTCGGTCCATGGGACAATGCTCAATCCACTGAGCCACACCAGCCGAACTATACTCCTTGAAAAAGGGCCTTTATGGGTTACACATGTTTATGAACACTGACTTGTTAAAAAAAAAAAAAAAAAAAAAAAAAAAGTATCTTTGTCAGGTTCAGATTAGTCATATTCCTTGGCTTATATTTGGATTTTGGGGTGTCATATATAGTAGGAATACAGAAGGGATCTTTATAGTTGAAACTAAAGGAAGAGGCTAGGGAAGGAGGGCTGTGCTCTGGCCACATGCAAAGCTTCTAAAAAGAACAAGACTTAGGGAATAGGGGAGATGAACCCTCAGTTCTATCCACTCATGAGCCACAGGCAAGGAAGGGAAAGAGAAAGTGGTTACTGGCCTTTGTTCTTTTTTTTAAAAAAAAAAATCAATATAATAAAAAGCTAATATGCAAATTGTCCCATTGGGAGTTTGACCACTTGCTGTGATGTGTACTGACCACCAGGGGGCAGCATGGAATGAAGGAATGCCCCAGGCAGCAGCCGGAAGGCCCCAATCAGTCCTGGCCAGGTCTAGGGACCCTACCTGTGCACTAATTTCATGCACCAGGCCTCTGGGGTGTGTGTGTGTTCATTTATTTAATAGAGGAAGGTACAGAATGAGCGGAAGCGAAACATCAATGATGAGAGGAAATCGTTGATTGACTGTCTCCTGCACACTCCTTACTGGGGATCATGCCCTCAACCTTGACATGTGCCCTTGACCAGAATTGAACCCAGGACCCTTTAATCCACAGGCCAACGCTCTGTCCACTGAGTCAAACCAGCTAGGGCCTTGCCTTTGTTCTTAATGGCAAAGATGGAGCTGCATAGCATCTCCATGTTATGCAAATATTGAGGCATTTTCGCAGCTATACTTAATAGTCTGTTCTTCCAGTCCTGAATTCATATAAAGGAAGTTGAATATTTTCTCTTCCCCTTTCCCCACCCTGTGGGCAATTCATTTGCAGTGATTTATATCCATCCTTAAACCTCACCATATCCATATGACTTAGGCCTTTTGGAGTTAGGACAGCGGTCCCCAAAGTGAGGCACATGCCGCTCAGGGGGGCAGTTGGATTTTTAAGGGGGGCAATTTGAGAATGAGTTACTAACAGTGAATTTTTTTTTGCATTTCCTATGGTTCTGGGGGCCTCATGTATAGTATATAAATATATATTGTGACATATTGATGCATTTCAGTTCTCTATTATATGTTTTGAAACTTTATTTGCTCTGTTTAAAATATCATTTCATATTATTATCTTTTAAAACAATTTCTTGTTGATTTCTTCCTCAGTAGTTCATCTGTCCTTTATTTTTCTCTTGCATAGACACCAAGCTTCTTTGGAAGCTTGTTAAGCAGTGGAGCTGATTAGGGGACAAGCAATGGATTTGGCTCATTGGTTTTGAATGGGGCATAAGGCAAGATGTGCATGTAGAAACGCCCAGCAAATAGTTCGATATGGGACTCATGGTGAACCAACTGGACAGAAAAATCAAAGTAAGTGCAGTGTTGTTAAGGAGGTCCTAGAATAAAGGCAGGCTGGCAAGAAGGCATAAAAGAGCTTTGGGTCTAGCCTTAGCATTCATGAATATAATGAGTGTGTGAACTCCGCAAAGCCTGATGCGGGTAGGGTGGGAAATGGGTTTGAAAGTGAAGGTGAGAAACCAGATCTCAGATCCACACTTTGTAGCTTAATCAGAGCATTTGCAATAAACGCCGGCTGTCAGGAAAAGGGGACAGGAAAGGAAAGTCCTGGGTTGGGAGCTGGGGCCATTAACCTTGGCCAGATGCTAGGCCTAGTCTAGGCGGTCACATGGCATGAGGGGCTCTGTGGGTTAGCTTTAGGGAATGCAATGCTTTTGCCCTAAGATTTGCTCTATCTCCAAAATGTAAAAAAAATAAAAATAAAAATAAAATAAACAAACAAACAAAAAACACAACGCTCACCTGTGTGTTTTAGGTATGCCAAGCCCTGATTGTGGTGTTTGCTGTGAATTACTTCTACCATACACAATTGTATAATAGTTAATGTGTATGTATGTAAGCAATATGTAAATCAGATGTTTATTAAATATATGCTGTAGAGGGGAAAACAAGGTAGCTGGGAAAATCCCTCTAGCCCATCTTTAAAAATCATGGTGTTTCATTCTACTGTTACAGTTTATGCTGTCAGTCAGCCAGCAGTTCCTCAGCCTTTCTGTACTGTCTACCTTCTGTGTCAGGGACTGCTTTTCCTTTTTTCCATTATCCCAGCTCCCTGCTGGCCATTTTTCCCATTCTGCACTGTTGTGTGGATTACTCTCTCCAAAACTTTCTTCACCCATCTTTTCCCATGGCTTGTTTCATCTCATTTCCTCTTAAGAGATGTACTTTACCCCTACCAGGTTCGGCTCAGGGAATAGAGTATCAGTCTGCAGGCTGAAGGGTCCCGGGTTCAAGTCCATTCAAGAGCATGTATCTTGGTTGCAGGCTCAATCCCTGGCCCTGGTCAGGATGCATGCGGGAGGCAACCAAGCGATGTGTCTCTCTCACATTGATGTTTCTCCCTGTGTGTCTCCCCACTCTTCTTCCATAATCTCTTAAAAAAAAAAAAAAAAAAAAAAAAAAAAAAAAAAAAAAGGGAAAAATATCCTCAGGTGAGGATTATCAAAAAGAGAATGACAGATACCTTAAAGAATCTGTAAGTCAGGAGGTACTAATGAATTTTATAATATACTTCAGTCTCCTAGTCAAATGGAGAGAGAAGAAAAAAAGGATTCAAAACGAGATCATGGAGTGATTGTGGCTGAAAGGAAATGTAAGGACGAGAGGAATCAGCATCACTGTGAGGCCCCGCCCTGAGTTCTGGTCACTGCCCTTCTCGCCCTCTGTGATGACCAGATAACGGAAGTGAGCAGTGCTACGGGTGGTGTCATAAATGGGCTCAGATTGGCCCCAGCATGGCCAGACCCGCGGTTCAATAATAGAAGATTAAGTACCAGCTTCAGATACTTAAGTGTGTCCTCTGAGTTCCTGTTGCTATTTTCTACCTGGAGATGTCTTCCACGTGTGCTTTGATGGCTCAGTTGGAAGTCCGCCATCTCTGCTTAAGTGTTCTTGAGTTTTATGCGGTATGGCAGCAGCACCCTTATCATCCCGACTTTTAGAAACAAGAAATCCCTGCCTTATTGCAGACAGGCTGCCGCCACCCAGGCAATGGTGACATATTCCTACTTTCTAGGATCTTGTCCTCTCCCACGCTGAAAGGCTTAACCTTTTTATCACTTCCAAGAGTCACCAGGCCTGTGAGAAAGGCTCCTGTTCCTAGAGGCTCTGCCATCAGCCGGTAGCATGCTTTTGCCCTGAGTTTCTAACCTCTTGGACACAGTACAAAAACCTGCTCCAATAAACATGAAATTGTTCATGTACCTAGAGCATTTGGGAGAGTATCTCACACATGTTAAGAACCTCTGCTATTATCTATGATAATCTATAAAAATAAAAGCGTAATATGCTATTCAGACCAGACGTCCTTTCGGATGACCTTCCAGACAAAGCCAGGGCTGTGAGGGAAGCCCGGGTCCTGAGTGCCTGCCAGTGGCTGGAGGGAAGCCCGGGTGCCCGGTGCCAGAGGGAAGCCAGTGCTGGCAGCCGGGAGAAGGAAGGCCTACTCTTGCACGAATTTGTGCATCGGGCCTCTAGTTATTAATATCATTGTTTCTGCCTCCATCTAGGATCAGAAGCTAGAGCCTAAATAAGCCTCTACTTTTTTTTTTCTTGTTATTCTGGTTAAGCAAACCCAAATTATCTGAAAATCAGCTTGATAATATTTGGTGTCTTCTCAAGTTTGTGAGCATTGTCGGCTCAAAGAACCTTAAAAAGGTCAAAGTGTTGTCACTTTAGTATTTTTACTTTCTAGAGCTTTCACATCCCTTCTCTGGATTCCTGAGGGGTCTAGTCCTGACTTAACAGTAGGATGAATAATCCAGCGATCTCATCATAGAATGATGTACATTTTATCCAGCTTCCAGTGTCTATCGAACAGTCCAACATGGGGCAGTAATGAACATCATAGCTAACTTAATGAGTACTTAGTATATATATCTTTTTTTTTTTTTTAATCCTTACCTGAGGATATTTTTCCATTGATTTTTAGAGAGTGGAAGGGA